AGAAGCATTTGTGTTGAAGATTGCTAGTTTTTGGGCCACTTCAAAGAACAAAACGATTAACCATTATTTTGGAGCCTAAATTGAACCATTTCCTTGGTCCGAAATTCTATTTGATCCCAATGAACTTGATTTGAAAGCCCAATACGTTTTTTGGCCTATCTTAAAGTTTAGGTGACCAAAATTCTTTGAATAAGTACATAAAGCATGTTTAGATTCATGAATTAAAGGTATGTCTTTAATTCTTGATTGAAATTTAAGTTTTAGCTTTTGAAGAGAGTCTTTTGGGGTGACTTAGAACCCTATAAATAAGAGTCTTTTGTAATCATTTTGATCATCATCCTTGAATAATAAACACTTTGTTTTTAAGTTTAACTCATTTGTGAGCTGAGTTTTCTTGCAAGAGCATTCATCTTTCAAGAACTTATCAAGATTGTAAGCACGATTTTGTGGCGTTCTAGATTCCTTTGGTTCTTAGTTTACTAACTAACGGGTCAAGAATTGCTCTAGGATAGTTGAAGAATCCTATACCTTGGATATTCGTTGCCTAATCTATCTCAAACGAAGGTTCCAAGTTAATTAACTTACGGGTCGACGTTTTTGTATCAATAGTGATAGTCGTCGTTTCTTAGAAACTTTATTCTTCAAATCTTCTAAGTACAATTCGTTCATAGTTAATCTTCTAACTCTTGTTCTTTAGACCTTGTCTCTTCAAAATTTGTCCCTCTTCAGACTTTATCACTTGGCCACTTTATCGAAGTCTGAAGTCTGTAATCCAGATCTCTAAAGTCAACTCTTTCAGAGTTGGCACTTAGCCAATTTCATCTTTACCCGAACTCTGAATTCTGATTTCTCAGAATTTTGAAGAGAAATCTTCAGAGTTAAGACTTAGACATTGAAGCAATCTTTTTATGGATTTTACAATGTGAAACAAAATGGTTAGAATAAAGTTGGTTGGAGAAAAGGTGATGAAATCAGTTATAGCAACCGAAAATGAGATTTATAAGAAAGTGAATATTCCTAAAATAAATCTTTTAAATATGATATTTTATGATATTTAAGAAAGCTGATTATTCCTAAAAATATAAATTTTGTAAAAACACAGAAATACACTAGTTTGTATTATTTGTAACCTTTGGATGATTTGCAAAATATAAAGGAAGTATCTTTTGAATACAATATATGGTGTTAACTTTGTAAATCCATCACAACCTTTCACCTTGAAAATTAATGGATCATATTTTTGATGGGCATTTTTGCAATAGTAATGAGCATGATACGTTACATTGCAAGATGAACATACACAAACAACGGTTATTACTAGAAAAAAGTCATAATATTTCTTTGCTTCCGATTTTAATTTCTCTTCCGTTACACATTGTTCACATATGAACACACACTGAACATTGTTTAGAACTCTTCCGTTACACATTGTTCACATTGTCTTGTTACTCTTCCATTACACATTGTTGACATATTAACACATACTGAACACACAAAGAACAAACGACGAACAGTCTTTACATGTGTGTTTATGAAAAAAAGAAATAAACATATTAGTTGAGCTGTAATCATGGAATTCAATAATGTTGTAAAAAACAAACATATTAATTAAGCTATGATCGTGGAATTAGATGATATTGTATTAATTAAGCTATAAGCATGGAATTTGATGATATTGTAGAAAATACACATATTAATTAAACTATAATCATGGAATTGGATGATATTGTAACGGGCCATTAACGCAAATAGATTTAAAACAAAAAAGAAAAATTACCCCTATACCGTCAACATTAATCACCTGATGAGAGATGAACCTAATTTAACAATGAATCATGATTGGTCTAAAACGTTTACATAGCTAATACCTTTGTTATAATTAACAAATGATTCTAACTCTCTATATATATATATATATATATACACATATGTATATATGTGTGTGTGTTCAAACAATCATGCAACTAATTAGTCTAACACTGAGTTTGTTCAGTGATCGCTGAGCATGCTTTGTAATAGTTTAGAATTTAAGTACCACTTCCAAAGACAAAGTTGACATCAAAGAAACCTTCATCGATGTCAAAGAGTTAGCTGAAAATAAAGACCTATCTGATACTGATCTGAAACAAGATTCAATGATATCAACATTGTCTACATACATATGGAGTCTGACCAAGACTCAATTGTAGCTGAAGAAGCCTTCAGCTTTCAACTCTATAGCTGATCAGAGTCTTGTTGAGCAAGATTAATCTTTGTCTTATCCTCTAGCACAAGATGGCATACCCCATGTTTCCACCAGACAAACGTACAAGTATAGATTACTTTTCTGTCTCCAAACATGTTTACCAACTACCTGAAGCTACTATTCATATGCGGCCAAAATCCTGCCATATTAGATGAACAAGGACAAGCATTCACTCATTTCTTGACATGTGGATTACACCCTCTGAGGTGCATTTATTGCAGTAGGTATAAATAACTAAGAAGAGTCTTCTTCTTCCTCTAAACTCTCTTCTCTTTTGTTCTTACTTTATTGTGTAAGGAACTTGGTGATTCTCAAGATTGTTTAGATTAGATTTTGTCTTATCTTATTCTATAACAATTTGTAAATTCATGTATTGATTTTTTTTTATCAATAAACGAATTTAAAAAGTAAAAAAAAATGTTTATTTGTATTCAGCCCCCCTACAAATTGTTATACATGTTATATTCTTGTAGAACTCCTTTGGAACCAACAGTAGTTTTGGAATAGATTTTAAATATTTTATATTTAAATTTTAATAAATAATTACTCGCTTCTCACTGGACAGAAGTGAGTGAGACCAATTTTGTGTATTTGAACTCGTTGGAGGGGATGAGTCCACCGCCATGCTAGTTGCTTGTGCTGTTGAGATGATAAACACTATGTCTTTAATCCATGTCGATTTGCCCTGCATGAACAACGACGACATGGACCGTTGAAAACCCACTAATCACAAGGACAACATTGCTTCAACAGAAGAAAAACGACGAGCGTTGGACAAGCGTGAGTTCATCCACATACGCAAAACGACTGTCTTGTTGGCGGCGGCGGCGGCGGTAGCAAGACCCACATGGAAGAACTGAAGTTTGCTAGGTGTATACCAAGTCATCGACAGAGTCGGGGAAAGATGATATATCAAAAAGGTGTTCACACATCCTCAACTGTTTCTAGTTGGAAAGCACATATGAAGATTTGTGGTTCCAAAGATTAACGATGTGATTGTGCATCCTTGTTTTCTATATTTTATTCATTATTTTCAAAATTTTCTGTGAATTTTATCTAATCATTTTGATTGTGTTGTTCATGATGAAGTACATATGATGATGGTTTCATATATGAAATGTTATTATAAACTGTTTAAAATAATAACATATTGTTTTTTAAGTGAAATAATACCAGTATGAAGCGATGATGACATAATTTATTAGTGTTTCATATGCAATACCAAAATAATTGATTTGGTTTCATATGTGAAACAAAATGGTTAGAATAAAGTTGGTTGGAGAAAAAGTAAATGAGATTTATAAGGGAATATTCCTAAAATAAATCTTTTAAATATGATATTTTATAATATTTAAGAAAGCTGGTTATTCATAAAAATACGTATTTTATAAAAAGACATAACTGCTTTGGTTTGTATTGTTTGTAACCTTTGGATGGTTTGCAAAATATAAGGGTAGGTTCTTTTGTTAACACAATATATGGTATTAACTTTGTGAACCCATCACAATCCTTCACCTTGAAAATGAATGGATCATATAATAGCATTTTTGCAATATTAATGAACATTATACGTTACCTTGCAAGATGAACATACACGAAAAAAGGTATTGTTAGGAAGAAAAAAAAGTCATAATATTTTTTTACTTCTTATTACAATCTTTTAATTTCTCTTATGTTACACATTGTTCACATATGAACGCACATTGGACATTGTTCACAACTCTTCTGTTACACATTGTTTTGTTACTCTTCCATTACACATTGTTCACATATTAACACATACTGAACATTGTTTACAAGCTTTACACATTGTTCACATATGTATGGGTGCTCAAAAACCCGACCAATCCAACCCAACCCAACGTGAAATAACTCAACCCGAAGAACACGATGTCTAATCGAGTTGTAAAATTTTCAAACTGTAGGTATTGGGTTGATATTGAGTTAATATTATTTAAACCCAACTCAGCATGATAAACCCAATATCCTTTTATTTCTTGGATTTAATATGATTGTTGAATTTTTATTAATATATACATTGGACAATTACACTATCACTATGCTCTTCATATACACATCTTTTCAATCTATTCACATCTCTATATAACTCATTTGTATATGTGTTCAGTAACTGTAAACATATATACGTAAATTGAGAAAATTAACCGAATGTGATATATATTAGAAGTATGGATAAGTTGTATCAAATGGTTGATAATGAAAAAGAAATGATGAGTAAATAAATAACATATTCAAGGTTAGAAAAATATTTTAATGTACCAAAGTATCAACCCGACCAACTCGTACGGTTTGGGTTGGGTTGAGTTGCACTTTTGTTTGGGTCGGGTCGAGTTAAGATTTTTCAAACCGTAAGCATTGGGTTGGATTGTTCAAATGTCTTTAACCCGATCAACCCAACCCATGAGCACCCCTACACATAAGAACACACAAAGAACAAAAGATGAACACTCTTTATAGGTGTGTTTATGAAAAAAAAAACATATTAGTTGAGCTATAATCATGAAATTCGATGTTGTTGTAAAAAATAAACCTATTAATTAAGCTATAATCGTGAAATTTGATGATATTGTATTAAGTAAGCTATAATCATGGAATTGGATGATATTGTAAAAAATAAACATATTAATTAAACTATAATCATAAAATTGAATGATATTGTAACGGGCCATTAATGCAAATAGATTTAAAAAAAATCACCCCTACGCCGTCAACATTAATCACCTGATGAGAGATAAGCTTGAACGAACTCAGTACATTCCTTGTTCTAAATCTTGAACGAACTCAATACATTCCCTATACCAGTTTCGCATATAAACCACACAATCATGGTCATAACTGTTCTAAATCTTGAACGAACTCAGTACATTCCTTGTTCTTGTTGTAATCAACATCGTTTGATGCAGATCTTACGATAATCGACCACGTTACGCTTTCCTTCGATAACGAAACCGAAAAAAGTGAGAAAAAAAACCAAAAATAAAAGTGGCCAATTATTTCAAAGGAGGGTCACAAAAGGATCCATAGAAAGATTGGTACAATAATCATGAAACCCACCATTTTAATTCAAATTTCACATGTACCACCTTACAACCCTTTACATGCATTAGCTGCCACCCATTTTCATAGCAACACCACTACCAAACCTACACAACAAAAGGCTTTAACAAACCCCACACCCTGCAAAAAGAAAGAAACATAAGATTCCAATCAACAACAACATCATCATCTATGCATACCATCATGTGATTTAATATCTTTTTTAAATTTATGTAATGATGATTGTGAATATATATATATATATATATATATATATATATATATATTACCTGTAATCTATGGTTGCTTGATGTTGGCGAAGGGCGTATCGTGGCAGAATCCACTTCGCCGGTGGGTAGTGGCACCGCAGGATTGCTATTGATGAACGGTAAAGAGTTGCCACCTTTTCGAGGGAAAATTGCATTCATCGGAGATGGGCTTGGAGAGTTTAACTCTTGTGGACGGTTAGGCCATGGGTAAGATGGCGATGATGATACAATATCTCCACCACCATCATTAGGCGGAGGGGTTGATGATACAATCCCACGACCACCACTAGGCGACGGCGCCATCACGGGTGGAGAGGCAGAGGTTTCTGGCGTGGTTGAGGAGGAGACTTGTATCGCAAGCTTCTGGCCGTCGTCACAAGCTTTTGTGGAGCTATTTTTGAAAGCGAAGTAGAAGGAGCCCAGCCGTGACGGATGCCACTTCATTCACAACCAAAAAAATAATTTTAAATTGGGCAATGCTATTTGCATCCTCTGATGTCAAAATCAGATCAAATCCGTATTGTAAATGTAAAAACTGGATTTTGATGTTGATGTATATGAAACGATGCATTTAGCAATGTATAGGGGTGCATTTAGTCCCTCAGTTTAAATTTTAATAACTTTGATTCAGTATTCATTGTAAAAACTTCTTAAATGATTTGATTAAATTTCGTTTTTTCTTAATGTTGAATTAATCTTTGTCCTTTGATTATTTATACCAAATCCCATAAAATAATATTGAAAATATAAAATTAGTAAATTGCAAGTTTGGTCCTTGTGGTTTGTTTTTTTATGATTTAGGTCCTTATAACATTTTTATTGCAAGAAAACTCTTATAGTATGCAAAAGTGCTTGGTTTAGATCCCTCTCACTAACGAAAGTTAACTACCATCCGTTAACTTTTCATGTGCATTATACACGAAGGTAAAATAGTCATTTTATCTCTGAGATATGACATATACTGATATGGATTATTAGTTTTTTAATTTTGTTTTTTACAACCACAATAACTACCATCGACCTATAAAACAACCAACGACAATTAGAACACTATCAAATCAAACATGAACAGATCAAGCAAAACAACCTATGCACAAATAAATCAAATTCATTTCACAGATCGAATGAGATTGTTTAAAATTCCTAACTCTAAGCAAAAACCCGTAACTCTAAGTAAAAAACCCTAAAGTGAAACTAAATCAGACTCTGAACTAAAATCAGACCTTAAACAAAACCTCGATGAGTAGGTGATGTAGACGAATAGATTCAAACCCTAGACAGATTCATATCAATCACTTTGTTTCAACCTCAGCCCAAATGAACATTAATTTGAAACAAGAAGTACATCGATCAAAAGACACTAGAAAATGAGAGTTTTGGTAATGGTGTTCCAATTAGTGAGAGAGAGTGATCGACGGAGCTAGTGAAGATGAAGGGGTCACGCTGATTATAAACACCTGATGCTTGGGGTAGTACGACTTGTTTACTTCGAGTTTGGATCTTTGGTGAAGACAACGAGCCAGAAAATGCAGTGGACGTTGAGGTTCATCGTAGAAGATGGGAGTGGGTAGTAGGTACACTAGAGAAGATGGGGTGCCAGAGACGTGAAGGGAAATGGGTAAGAGGTGTCATGATTTTGGTTATGAGGTCGAGGCCGGTTATAGAAGGCGGGGATATGTCTTTTAGGGTTAAACGGTTAAAAAGAAAGGGGTGGTCTAAAATGACATGTATACCGTCATGTGCAAGGAATATGAGAGTGTTAATGAATAGAAGTTAACTTTCGAGTGAGAGGGACCTAAACCAAACACTTTTGCATATCACTGAGGGTTTTCTTGCAATAAAATTCTCTAGGGACCCAAAGCAAGAAAAACAATATACCACATGGACCAAAATTGAAATTTACTCTAAATAAAATATTAAAGATGTCATTTAATTCAATTATTATTATATAAAAACAAAAGTAAACTACAGATTTGGCCCTTGTGGTTTGTTAAAAGTTACAATTTTGGTCCATGTACTATCAAAATAATAAGATGGCAATCATGGTTTACAAAAACATCCAGATTTAGTCCCTTTCTAACAGCCTCTAAACAATTCTCTTAATATAGGGATATTTTCATTATTTTATCCATTTTTTCTAGTCTTTTACCCAATAAAAAAACCATTGAGACCAAAATTATAAAATTAATTTTGATTAGGTAAAAAGATAAAAAAATCGATAAAAAAAAATATCTCCCGGTTAATGAAATTTTCAGAGACATTAGATGAAGGAATCAACTCCAGACATTTTTGCAAACCACGGTGACTCTTGTAATTTCGAAACTACAGTAACAAAAAGTGTTATTTTTAGCAAACCATAGGGACCAAATTTGTAATTTAGTTCAAAAACAGTCTAAATTTGATGAATTTTTCAGTCAAACTTTATTAAAATTAAATTTTAAATGTTACACTTTTAGGAAAAGTTGTGGTTAATAAGAGAATGATTGTCAAAGTCATGGTTAAAGTATCTTGTGAAATAAAGAGCTTGTTTTAAAGGGGGAAAAGCTGACTTTTTTTGTCAAAAGTGAAATGTATAACCAATAAAGCAGATAATACAATCATTTAAAGCACTCATTGCTTTAAAGAAAATCATATTTAATTGGAAAATTTTCATTTAAACCCAACTACGCAGCTCTTTACCTAAATGCTTACCCGATAAACACTTATTGTTAGGAGTCAACACTATAATTTATTTTACCGGATAAGATTGTAGTATATCAAAATGGTATAATATACAAAAATTTACCCGTATATAAAAGAAAGAGGCAACTATGAATAGAATATACAAGCAAGCATATGACACAATGCATTCATTACTTATTAAAAAAAAAACAAACCATTTTTTAATTAACCCATCAAAGTTTTAACCAACGGAAAACATGAGAAACACATCCCATAAACTGCATTTAAGAAAAACTTGCTAGAAATGGAATGCACAACAAAGTTTAATTCCCCCTTTACCAAATTATTTCACCGGATGAATATAACAATGACCAAAAATCTTACCCGATAAAAACGAAACAAGGACCAAGAGTCTTACCCGGTAAGCAAGGACGACGACGGCTTACCACAGTAAGCACTTACCGGGTAAATTGTTGCATACGATGTTGTTTTAGTCAACCCATTAAACTTGTAAGCTTAAGCTTTAGTGTGTTGCGTGTGTGTGTGATATACAGATATATATATATATATATAGAGAGAGAGAGAGAGAGAGAGAGAGATAGATTACAGTGAAGGTGGGAGTGGAAGGAGTGAGAAGGGTGGATTCAGTGAAGTTGCACAAGTTGAAGGCTCTTCTGTTCTTGAAAATGTACAAATTGTAGCTGTGTTTGTGCCTGAAAACTGCAAACACCCAACAAAATAGAAGACATCTTCGGTTATTTCGAGTTTGAAATCAAGAAACAAAACCCAGCTCCTGAAGAAAAATAGGGGAAATTAGGGTTCATAAAAAGGAGGGTTACTGTTTGCAACTTACTAATGGAGTCACCAACTTGGACAGTAGGGTTCTTCCATTCAGACACTCCATCAACAACCAGAGTTGCAGAATCAGTAAATTGTTGCAGAAACAGAGTTATGAAAGTGAAGATCATCACACTCCTACTGAACTGCATTTCCATCCTCTTTTTCACTCTAAAAAGCAATTTAAAAAATAAAAAAATTCCAACGGATTTTAGTAACAAGAAGAAGAAGAAAAGCTTTGAGATTTGATATTTGAAAGAAACAAAGAATGGTGCTTTTTTTGTTCAGAGCGGACACAGAGAGAGAGAGAGAGAGAGAGAGACGCATAAATTGGTGCAAGCGAAAATAGGGTAATTCTTCCAATGCCACCATCCTTGAAATAAGCAAACTTTTAAGTAGAACTTTTAGATACTTACCCGATAAGTGTTTATCAGTAAAATTTAACACTATCAATTATTTATCGGATAAGATTTTAGTCCACCAAAACGATATAGTATGCAACAATTTACCCAATAAGTGTTTACCATGGTAAGAGTCGTCGCCTTCACAAGGGTGGTGTCTGATTGGTTTGAGCTTGGCTCCAAAGATCAAAAGTATCAGGAGGTCTCAGGTTCAAATCTAAGAAGAAATAAAAATCCCCTTTGTGGCCACGGAGGTTCAAATGCGGTGATTCTGGGCTATCTGCAAAGCAGGTGGTCGCCCTGGGATTAGTCGGCTCGCATAGCGGGTTGGATATCTAGGTTAATGAAAAAAAAGGTAAGAGTCGTCGTCCTCACTTACCGGGTAAGACTCTTGGTCTTTGTCTCGTTCTTACCGGGTAAGATTTTTTGTTCTTATTATATTCACTCGATAAGGTAATGTGACTTGGTAAACACTGACTCGGGTAAGCGCTGACTCGGGTAAGCGTTTGGTAAACGGCTCCTTAGTGAACCTTTACCAAACACTTATTTTGTAAGCGTTTACTTGGTAAAATTTAATACTATCATTTACCTATTGGGTAATATTTTAGTCTACCAAAACGATATCGTATGCAACAATTTTATCCTGTAAGTGCTTACCATGGTAAGAGTCGTCGACTTTACTTATCGGGTAAGACTTTTGGTCCTTGTCTCGCTTTTACAGGGTAAGATTCTTGATTTTTACCATATTTATCTGATAAGGTAATGTGACTTGATCTTCACTTACCCAAGTGAGCGTTTGGTAAACGGCTTCTAAGGTTTATTTTAAAAGTATTTTCAATGACTATGTTATATTTTTTATTTTTAAAATTTATATTTATTTTTTGTAAACTTATTTTATATTTTAAAGAGAGTTTAACATAAATGTACAAGTGTTAATATATATAATACAAGTCGATGAAGCATCAATCTTGAAAAAAGGCGTAGCCAAAAGGAAAAGGTTTTGCACATATTTAAAGAGTAGAGTTACAGAGAGGAGAGAGACTGGTCATTTGTCTTTTTTTGCACATAGAATCCAACTTAGTAAAGGAGTATATCTAGGGGTGTTTAAAAATCCGACCAACCCGATCAACCCAACTCAACATGAAATAACTTATTTTAACGAAACCCGATGTCTAATCGAGTTGTAATATTGTCAAACCGTAAGTATTGAGTTACTATTATTTGAACCCAACTCAACCCGATGAACCCGATATCCTTTTATTTCTTGGATTTAATATGATTGTTGAATTTCTATTAATATATACATTAGACAATTACACCATCATGTATGTTTTCCATATACACATATTTTCAATCTATTTATATCTCTATATAACTCATTAATATGTCAGTAACTGTGAACGTATATATGTAAATTAAGAAAATTAACTGAATGTGATATACGTAAGAAATATAGATAAGTTGTATCAAATGGTTGATGATGAAAAAGAAAATTATTAGTAGAGAAATAACATAGTCAATGTTAGAAGAATATTTTAATATACCAAAGTATCAATCCGACTAACTCGTGCGGGTTGGGTTGGGTTGGGTTGCACTTTGGTTTGGGTTGGGTTGGGTTAAGATTTTTCCAAACCGCGAGCATTGGGTTGAGTTGTTCAAATGTCTTCAACCCGATCAACCCAACCCATAAACACCCCTAAGTATATCACTGCATTTTCATATATATATATATATATATATATATATAATCATGGATGTTCGAATCAACTTTCATACACCTTGACTAGTCTTAGTGGTCTTAAAAAACAATCATAAAAATCCTCAGTAATCTTACAAGATTAGTACTGATAGACCTCTAAAAATAATCCCCTACAAACTTAAGTCTGATTACTAATTGAGTTAAAGACAACAAACTTCTGAATTTTCAAATATCATCTCTGAATAGATGGTTTTTTCAGAGCTATAAAATGTGATTCCATAATAATATACAACTCTTATAGCATGGTGTGCAAGTTGATGAAATATAAACCTCAAAGTAATATTTTTTTTTATTATATAAAGTAGTGTTTGGTATGCAGATATTATTAGACTGAATTGGATCGGACAAGACAAGACTAAACAGAAGCAATGTTTGTCTGGTGTTTGGTACGACTTGGACTGACATGACAGAACTAGCCAAATTGCCCCAAAAAGTTATTTGATGATTTTAATCAAATAATTGTTATAATTAACATAAATAAAGTATAATTTAATTTATACACATTTTTCATATATATATATATATATAATACTAAATTTGAATGAAAAATTTGATATAATTCATGGTAGTTATAAAAACCCAATTCTTACAAAAAAGAAATTATGTTTATTCGGTTTGAAAGATCTTTATCAATAGATGTTGCAACAAAAATTCTTGTATAGGTAGAGACATTTGTGATTGGTGGACAATGCTGGCTCTAGAGAACGTGAAGATGATGGATAATGGTGGTGATGGAGGTCGACAAAGTGGTGTAGGAGGTAGTTGTGGCCGATGTGACGGTAGTGGTGGTGGTTATGGTCGAGGTGGAGGTGGAGGTGGAGGTGGCCAACGGTGTCGTGGAGGACATAAAGACGGTAGATAATAGTGGTGGTGACGGTCGACAATGGTAGAGGAGGTAGTTGTAGCCGATGTGATGGTGGAGGTGGAGATTGTGATGGCTGTTGTTAGTTGGTAATTATGGTGGCTGTAGAGGTAATTGAGGAGGTTGTTGTAGTGGAAGAGGAGGTGGAGGTGGCAGACAGTGGCTACCAATGGTGGCCGACTAGCGGTTGTGACCACTAAAACATACACTATATTTAAGATTATATATCAAACGATGATTAATTAATAATATTTTACTTTTTATCTCATTCTTGTCTCAATTTGTTCTATCTATTCCGGAGGAACAAGAAAAGGTTTTTTTTATCCCACACAGTCTCACCTTGTCCTAGTTCTTGTCTCTGTCTCATGTCACAGCAAACGTGGAACAGGGATTCTTGTCCTGTTACATATCACGTCAAACATGAGAAAGTAAGTTTAGTCCCGCTCGTATCTGGTCTCATGTATTAAACGCATCATAAAAGATCCAACGAATTTAAAGTGGGTGGGTGAGCTTGTATTGAGCTTATACCTTGTCACGGGGAAAGTTTGAATGGAATGAGGAAGGGACTTTTAAAAGGGTACCTTGGTTTTTTTTTTTTTTTTTTTTAATTATAATAAAAAATATGTATTTTTATTAAAATAAAAAATATGTATTTTTATTAAAAAATAAATACAATATTTAGAGTAAATTACATATTTAATGAGTTTAACGAAACTCACAACTTATTTAATCAGATAATATATGACTATTTAATAGTGGTTTAATGATATATAAAGTGACTTATTCACCAAGCTTTTAGATGAAGCTTTATGCAGCAAGTCAATTTTTTTTCTTCCAAACTTGTCCCTCCTAATTAAAAAACATGTTTCTTCCATCTATGAAAAAGATCGTTCCAAACAAAAATCTTCTCAATCTAAACACATAGATTAATCCACACAAACAATTTTATTCATACAAGACTTAAAGGAAAATCAACCAAACAATCCCATTCCTTTTCACTTTTTTTTTTTTTTGTCTTTATTCTAAAATGGACATATTTTATTGTCTGTTTCATTTTAAAATATGTCCATTTTAGAAAAATTATACAATTGTGATTGAGCACTTTTCAAAAAAGAATTCTCATTTAAACCTAATTCCATCTTGGATTATAAAATCTGTTATCTTTTGGATTGTCTGCAAATAAATTCAAAGTTTGTTCAGTCTGTCATTTTTTAAAATTCAAGTCCTCAAACTCTTTTATCTTTTTATATAAATCAATTCTCTTCCTTTGAGACAAAATCATATTTAACCAATAACACTTCATTTTCAATCTTTGCTTTTTCAAAATCTTTCTCTCATTTCCATATTTTTTCAAATAAATCTGATTTTTCTTTCAAGAGAACATCCTTTTAAAAATTTCCCTTAAAACTCTATTTCTCTTCTCTAAATATATTGACCAAGAGTATTTCACCATTTAATCTTTCCTTTAACTCATCAAATTCAATATTCATAGAATCAATTTGACTTTTTAATTGAAGATCAAGAGAATTATGTACCTCAAATTCAAATTTAGAATTTCCTGATGAAGATTAAGAGCTACAAGCATATAGATCTAAAGAACCCATGAAGCAAGAGTTTGAGAAATGAGCAGTTTTTTCCTCTAAAGAAGACAAATCTAACCAGTTTTCCTCTTCTGCCATCAAACTTTGTCTTTGTTCTTTCTTTTTATCCATTTGCATCTCCTTTGCATAATTGTCTGAATTCTTTGTTTTCTTAAACCTGCAATTTCTAACCAAGTGTCCAGGTTATTCATAGTTGAAACACCTTGGAATTTCTTTATCTTCTTTCTCATTCTCTTTTTCTTCTTTCTTCCTCTCAAAACCTTTTGATTCAGACCTGTACTTCTTGTCATTGCCACCTGTTGATCCAAACTTTGTCAATGGTTTGACACTGATCCTTTATACTTAGCAAAAAATACTTAATTCTATATTATTCTGTTTCAGTGATCATCACTAAGTCCGTTCAGTGCTCGCTGAACATGTATTGTAAACTTTTGTAGTAAGCACGTATTCTTCAAGAAGACAAAACTCATACCAAAGGAACATTCAGCAATGCCGAAGATATAGCTGAAGACAGAGACAAGCAGTTCGTGATCTGAAGCGGTTTCAGTGATAACAAGTGTGTCTACAGTCAAGTGTGAAGTATATTCAAGATTTAGCGAAGACTAAAGAAACTCTAGAGTTATGTCAGTGCCAATTATCAAATGAATCTTTCTCTACTAGATTAGTTTTTGTTTTATTCTCTTCCACACAAAGGATAAACCCATACATCACATGGTAAAACACATGTACGAAGTCACTCTATTGCCTCCAAGCGTGCTTACCTACTTTGTGAAAGACTATTGTTCATGTACGGCCAAAAGCCTGTATATCTGAAGACAAAAGACAAACTCACCTCTAGAAGTTTGCCACGTGCTTTGTACCCTCTGACTTGCATTAAATGCAATGAGTATAAATATCTAAGGAGACTCTCTTCTCCATACAGCAAAGAGCAACACATACATGCAAAACTAAGCTTACTCTCAAGTAAAGTTATAGCATCTTCTCAAGCAGACACTTTCTCTCTTGTTTTTTGTATCTTGTGTGTTTCCTAGATTGTTTAGACAAGTTCCGTATTGTTAAGTCTTAATTTATGTATTGTATTCAAGCTTGTTTTGTTGTATTTACCTTTTAGGTATAAATAGGTAGTTTTCTTTAGTTTACTTGTAACTCTTGTAATCGTTTAACCTTTAAAGTAATATCAATCTTTAAGCTTTGAAGAAATTCTCTCTCTACATTTCTAATTCTCCACTGATGAAATTTTTATGATCTTGATGTTATGTTGAATGATTGGTTGAAACTAAGATTATCAATTGGTATCAGAGCATATTACAACAACCAAAAGATCAAAATTGAAGCAGATTTGATGAATTCTTGAAGTTTCTTGAACATTTTCTTGATCGAACATTCTATCCATTTTTATCAAAATAAAGATCGATTTCTTGTTATGTTTTGAGTCGAATTTTTATTGGGATTTGCTTTAAATTACTTTGTGATTGATTTATGGTGTTTGTTTCATTCATTTGGATAGAAATTAGAGTCCAATTTAAGTTTTTGGTGATCATCTGTTTTTGACTGTTCTTGAATCTGTTTGATCATTTTTGATCAAATTCACTATGTTTTATCTGTTTTTGGCAAGATTTTGTTTATAAAACTTGTTTGTAATTCAATTTCGAACAGTTCTGTGTTGATTTTAATCAAATCCGTTGAGTTTTGTGGATTTTTGGTCGAAATTGATCAAGTGTCTGTTAGATATGGTTATATCGCTTGTTGAAGATAACTTTGGGCAATTTCCTTCAAGAACATCGCTTGTTGAAGATCTTGTAGACTTGTCTGATTTGATTAAGAACATTGCTTGTTGAAGGTACTTGGTAAGTGACTTTGAGTATATCGCTCAAGGTTCAAGAGTAATTCTTGGTATATCGCTCTTGCGTTAAGAGGTTTCTAGCAATATCGCGCAAGTGTTAAGCGATTTTTGTGTAAATCGTTCAAGTTTCATCCGATTTTTGAATATATCGCTCAAGCTTTGAGCGATATTCGCTCTAAGTGGTTTTTTTGTTTTGGGCGATATTCGTGTTGAGCGGTATCCGTGGTATTTGTTTTGGGCGATATTTGTGTCGTTCTGTATTTGTGTCAAGCGATATTCTACAAGGGTCAGGCAATATTATTCTAAGTTTGGGAGTTATTCTGATTTTTTTTAACTGTAAGAAGATCAAGTTAATCATTTGGTGATTATGACGTCAAGAGAAGCAATGGCAATAGGTTCTGAAACAAAACCACCTATTTTGTTCAGAGGAGATTATCCGCAGTGGAGAGATAGATTTCTAGACTTATTGAAAGACATGAGTATAGTGATGAGATAATGTAATCTTTAACTGAATATCCAAAAAGACTTTTTGGCAAGAAATGCCAGCTATACCCGAAAGAAATGTACCTGCTACATTGAAACCTAAAGAAAAGTCTAAGTATAATGACAAATGAGAAAAGAAGAGCAAGAGGTAACATTCTGTATAAGTCATTCATGATGCAAAGCTTTAACAAATGAAATTTACACAAGTATTGATTGTTACAAAGAGTCGGGTAAGAGCATGTGGGATTAGATTGAGAAGATTATGATGGGTTCAAAGGTGGGAATTCAATTAAAGATAACAAATTGCATCACAAACTATAAAGATTTCAAAGCAAAAAGAGAGAGTTTGGATGATATTTGTGAGAGGTTCACAAGACAGCTAAACGA